AAGCCTTCGGCTGGAGCGACCCACCACAAACCGCCTCGGATTGTCGTTTGTCGCCCGGAATCCATAACTAGCCCACTATCCCCGAAGAAGCCGAACGCGCCACCATTGCATGCGATGATGTAGCCCATGCTTGTCGCGAAGGTGTAGTCCAAGGAGTACTTTAAACCAGGCTGGTAGGTGTTCGTCGAGCCTACGCTGAGACCGCATTTGTCTGTCTCCAATCCGATGTTCCAGATGCCCATGTGCCCGACCCCGGTGCCGGGCGTGTAGCCGCCTAAGCAATTGAAGTCGCACGGCAGGTTGAAGGGATATGCTTGTGCCTTGAGCACCAAGCAGAACAAACCGACGTTCAACTTCCATGGAGCCATATTCTTGCTTCGGGGCTGCACTCTCGAAGCCATGGCTGCGCTGCTAACATGTTAAAAATGGCAAAACAGGGCTTTTGAGCAACCGTAGCCATGACGTGTAGGGTTTTTGCTTTCTCTGGCTCTGAAACATCTTGTGATTGTGTTGCTACACAGCTCTTGCTGCTCCCACCACTTAAACCTGACCCCTTCTGAGTGCAAGCACAGCGTCCACCATCGTCCACCGCGCCGCCCCTGGCCGCCGGGATGGAAAGGCTCGGCCAAAAGGGCCTGCGACGGCTCCTTTAAGGGATCTACAAGGGGTACTATAAGGGTATTAGGTTATTAGGGCTCCTTTTTTAGGGATCTAGAAGGGGTTACTCTAAGGGTACTATAGGGTTTGGGCGGTCGGGGCTTGGAGCGTCTTGTCATGTTTTTTGGCGTGAATGGGCCTCGTCGACTACGGCTGTAGCACTCGGTCCCTATAAACAAACAGACAACAAACAAGCAACAAAAACTACAAAGCGGTGAGACCAAAAGCGAAGCTCTACAAGGGCTGCGGCGCACAGGCTTTGCCGGTGTTAGCCGTTCAGCACAACTACGGAGCCTCAGCGACCGATCCGAAGCAACAAAGAGCCGTCGCTCTGAGCTGCCCAAAGCAACAGGTGGAGCCAAGTCCAAGCTCCGGCAGCCGTTCTAGTCTCGCCAGACAACGGGCAGCCCCTGCGCTTTGTTCCGTCACGATCGAGCACACCAAAGTCCAAAAGTCCAATGTTCGCCGGAGCGAAGGGCTTCAGGTCTATCGGTGCCCGAGTCGTTGCGACTCAAAGCCGGCCAGAAATGGCCGGAACCCAGGATCGAGACAGACGATCCACGGTGTGCAAATCCTGTGGTGGATTGGCTGCCGGCGGTCAATTCCGCCAAACATCGCGCACAGTCTGACCAGGCAAGGGTGTAAACCGTGGGAAACGTCTGGTGTGCGTCAATCCGGCAGCGCAACGCACAGAACATTCCAAGGTAGCGGGTCACCCAAGACAGAGCCTGAGCCATGGCAAGAGTCCTGTCTCGTGCGGGAGACGGCATCCGCACGCCCGGGATCATCAAAGTCCGGGTCGATGTCACTAAATTCACTAAATGAGGTAATCTGAAACATGTCGAAGCCCGGGTATTGACGTTGGCCGGCATCTCATTCCACGCACATGCCGAGATGCAAGGAAGAGAGGGCCGCGCAGGGGTCAGAAAACGGACATCGACGTATGTCGACGTGCTGGCAGCCCAACACGACGCAACCAAGTCGGAGCACAGTGCAAGTGACCAGGCAAGGGTGTGGAATGTGGGGAACGCCTGGTGTGCAGAAGTTCGCGATCGGACCTCAACGACGTATGTCGTCGGTCGGCGTGCCATCATATCGAGGCCCTCCGTGGGCCAGAAGAATGAGCCGCCGAGCCGGCACTATATCGAACTATGAATGCAGGGCGGCAGGATACCACCTGCCCGTCTCGTGAGACGCAATGTTACTCAGGGCTATGTAGCTGGTAGCTCTCTCAACTTCCAGAATATCGACACAACGACGTATGTCGTCGGTCCCAGGTCGCTAAGAGCGGAGGTCACCTGGTGGAGCCGGTCGCTGCATCGTACGGCCAGCGGTCGAGTAGGCGTTGCATGTCACGGCCACTCGAGGGGAAGTGACTCTCCTTCAGAAGATAGAGCGTTTCACACTCACTTCGGCTCAGAACTCTTTTTGCGCACGAAGCACGAAGTCCTTGGTCTTTTGCACGTTTGTGCAGGGGGCGGGTGGGCGGGTCACCCTTGAGCCGAGAGCCTACGGAGGTGAAACACTACGCACGCAGCGCTAAGCTACCACGTTTCACACTCACTTCGGCTCAGAACTCTTTTTGCGCGCGAAGCACGAAGTCCTTGGTCTTTTGCACGTTTGTGCAACCTTCCCCCCTTTGTACCAAAAAAGGAGTGTGTGCCCCTCCACACAAAGGGGTTGTCGGTCGCGAAGCGCGACACGACAAGGGCCACACGAAGGGGGGATGGCGGTTCACTTATTTGGGAACCCTTTGACCGGCGTCATGTCCGCGCGGGCCATGCAGGCAGCGGTGTTGGCGGACGCCTTCCTAGATGTCCAAAGGTAGGCTAAAAAGGCGTCCGAGTTCCACCGGCCCCAGGTTCGGAGGACATAAGAGTCCATTCCCCCTGCCCACATTGCAGAAGCTCCCCCAAATCTGAGAGAGTGGGGGGTGTATGCTTGTGCCTCCTCTCCCAAGGAGGCAGCGACAGTTTGCAGGGCAGTCTGGATGTCCTGCCTTGTAAGTTCTCCGAAGAATCTTTCCTCCGGATGCGGCGTGGCTTCTGACCATTTGAGTTCCAGAAACTCTATGGTCGCCAACACAGGGCAGACGGCCGCATCGCTGCGAAATAAGTTCCTCGTGGCGGATTCCCCTTCGGGATCCGTCTTTGAAGCTCTCACAACTATCTGCACCTCATCTGCCCCGCTGAAGGGCGGCCGGGCGAGGAACTCGCCACGGCTGTACAGCTTGACATCTTTGACACGGAGTCCAAGCTTTGGGTTATTGCCGCCGACCAGTTCCGAAACTCGCAAGAGAAAAAAGAAACCGAGTTGCAATGCACAGTTGAGCTGTCTTCCCCACAGCCCCCGTGGCAACGCCGCTTGGGCCCTTGCCAACATGTGCGGCGTAACAGGACGTCGTTTGGCGATGGGTCCTTTCCTCCTCCTGATTCCCTCGAGTGCAAGTTGCAAACGAGGAAGCGGCTTCGGCGGGTCTGGGAAGCCGAGCTGTAGGTGTACGCTTCGAATCGCTCCCAGGCGGGCTTGTGCTGTGGCTGCTGCTAGCCCTTGGCCCACAAATAGGTACACCAGATAGTCGAGGAACAACGACTCTTCTCCGGGATCGAAACGATCCACGGAGCGGAGTGCTGAAACGCCCCGACGTCTAGTGTATAGCTCCCACCAGCGCCAATGGCCGTCATACAACCGCTGGGTGGATGGTGATAGGTGGTCCTTCACCAACTGCAGTCGTTCTTGCGCCCAGCGACGGGCGGGGACTACCCCTGGTTCCGGCCCCTCTTCTGAGAATTTCCGCTTCGTTTCTGCGGGGGAATTCCCGCTCGGGGCAACGAGGGGGTGGCTGCCTCGACGCCGATGATGTCGGGTCGTCAGGCTCGAGGTCTGTGCGGGCAAGAGTTCTCCCCGGGTTTCCCGGCGTGTCTCTCGTACTGCAAACCTGACCTTGCGCGTTCCTTCCCCCACCCTTCGGGACGCCGGGCGCGGAGCGCGCCACGGCGGACCCGGCCAGGTGATGAGCAACGCAACAAGAGCAGAAGCTACCGCAGAGTTGCCAAGTCGACCGGTTTCCTCTGCTTGTCGGTCGCACCCCTGTAGCACGAGCAAAGCGAGGGCGGCGAGGCTACCAAGGATCACCCGAAGGAACCCTGTATAGTTGGACCCCTGGCGTCTGGCCGCGGGTGTGCTCCCCGACGTTGGCAGACGAGTAATGCGGGGCTCAAGCGGGGAACAATCCAGACAGGGCCTGTATGCCCGGCTCTTCCTCGCCCTCAAGTGTCCGCAATGCTCCGCATGGAAGCATTCGCCGGCGGGCGTTACACGGACGTGGTCGGCTGCAGGCGGGTGTCCTTGGGTGGTTTGGCAGGCGACCTCTTTCTTCTCGACGCCCCAGCCTAAGGTTGTGCGCCAGGCAAGGTAGAGGCAGCCGGTGGTCAGGAGCCTGTGCGTCCATAGCTCCCAGACTCCCCCTTCTTCCACAATGTCCCCTTCGGCAGCATTTGCAACGATGGGAAGCAGAGCGACGGTGGTCAGCCAGAGAGCTCGCGTGACGGCTCTCCGACGGGTTTCGTCACGCGGCAGGGGTCGAGCTTGCTAACTTTCCTACCGGGTTCTTGTGGGAGTGTGTTGGTCGGCGCATAGGCAAGCATCAGATATCGGCAAGCATGAGTACATTCCACTGTGATCGAAACAACAAGGGCCTCGTAACGGTAGCGTTTAGGGACTTACGACTGCGACGGCTTCGTGGCTCCCTAAACCCCTAAACCCTAAACCCCAAGCCAGGGCCAAAGCGACATCGCAACTCTGAACGATTCAGTTGTTGCTTCGAGTAGTTCGATTCCAAAACATATACCCGGTGTTATGCCCGGGGCTCGCACATCTCCAATCTGCAAAAATGTGCCTTATGTGTAAAAATATATATGTGTCGAAACTTTCGTCGAAACTCGCACGTACGTGGTAGTACGAATTTATAAAAGTCATGAGAATATCAGAAAACACTCAGGCCAGGAATCATTTCTTCTCAGAGTCTCAGAGTCTCAGAGCGTCTCCGCCCGAAAGCATGCGGAGAATCCCGGAGTCGGGATAGCAACAGCTTCAGCAAAAGGTGGCACAGCCCCGTGGGTGCCGAAAACGAAGTTTTAGCCCAATGGCAAATGCATTGGGCTGCGCCGCAGGTGCCCCCCCTGTCTCACACACATGACTTGGCGATCTAGAGACCTAGAACACAACACACGTGACAACCATATCAAATCACATAGATTATAAACTTATCACAACACCTGACCGGTCATGTGATGCAGGCTCCACCCGCAAAAGTCCACAGCTCAGCTGGCTTCTCACTGTTCTCACTCAGCAGCCCGTCCTTCCTGAACCGCCTGATCCGCCGGAGGGTCCTTGTCCTTGCTCTTGTCACTCTCGTCGTACAGTGCCAAGAACTCTTCCATCTTCGCGACATCGCGGCCGGTGTTTCTCAAGATCTCAATCACACGACCGTAATTGGTCTTCGATGCCTCGGTCGTCAGCATATAAGACTTCCTGACGCCGTACACGAGAGGTGTCGTTCCATTGCACTGTTCAGCAATGATCCATCCTTGCGGGATGAACGCGACATCGTCTTGTTTCACGGTGGCAGCCCAGCCGATCGATTTGTCGGCATCCTCCGCGAAATCCAAGATGTACTGAATGAGATCATCGCATGTGGGATCAGCGACTTTCTCACATACCCTGGATGCCACCTCCTCCACTGGGAAAGCCACGACATTCATGGATCCCATCGCCAAGACGCGAATCATGGCCGCACCATTTGGACACAACCAGCAGCCAGCCATCTTGTTGTCAAAGCCGACATACCACAAGTTGCTGTGAAAGAGCTCGCCGTCCTTCACGGTGCTGAGATCAAGCCTGCAGGGCTGCAGGAAACACTGCGGTGCTATGTTGAAAAAACATGTGGCTTTAGCGAACTGTTGTTTGAGAGCTATTCGACGAAAAGCTACTTTACCAAATGTGTCGCCTGGTTTACTTTACTAAATGTGTTCCCCACTAACTACTTTACTACATGTGTCGCCCGCTTTGCACGCCCCAATGCCCAATAACTACTTTTTTACATGTGTCGCCCGGTTTGCTCATCTACTACATATGTGTTTCCTGGTTTGCTCGCCCGAAAAACTACTCTACTACACGTGTAACTGTGTAACCCGGTTTGCTCGCACCAAAGGCTGCTTTTGTCTAAGTTCTGAGAATCGCAATAACTAACTAGGACGGGGAGTCGCAGCGTCCATGATTCGTGAGAGCTCGATCCTTTGGCGGATGTTGCAACAAGACACAGAAGCTTCGCAAAGCATGGGTTGGACACTGCTTTCGAACCAAACTGCACAATACACTCAAAAGTCACCATACACACAATCGGACTTTCATGCACTCAGCTATCACCCGGCCTTTTGTCATCACATGGGAACACCTTGTGCATCAATGCCTCGGCAGCCTCCTTGCCACATTTGGCAATCACGGCTGCGATTGCACGTCCCTCGGCCTTAAAGGAATTCGCCTTCTTGTAGACGCCTCCAAACTCGCTGAGCTTCACCGTCACGTCGCCCTGATTGCGCCACGTCTTGGCTTGCTCACATGCGCGGAGGACCCAAGGCTTGTCAAGGTGCGCGGCCACGTCGAAATCCTTGCCATCGTTCTCGACAAAGGCGTTCCACGCCGTTTGGTCAATGCCGAACACTTTGTGAGCACTGCCCTTGAGCAACTTGACTTTTGCAGCCGCTGCTTTGGCATGCTCACGGACCTTCTGCAGCTCCTTGTTCTCCTCAGCCTTCTTCTCCTTCGCTGATGCACGCTCCTTGTTCCTGGCCTTTTGCTTGATGTAGTTCACGACATCGGTTCCTACCTTCTTCAATGCCTTCGAAAACAGCTCAACCACGGCGGCGTCCTGCTTCATGATGCGGGTGAACGTGTCGTCGACAGCCTGGGCATTCACCAGCTGCAGCATTGCTTGAGCCTCCAGCTTGAAGAAGGTTTTCGAGTGCAGGACCGCATCCGCCTTGACAAGAGCGACGTCCCCCATGGTCGCCAACTGCTCCTTGAGGGCCTGGTCTGCAGCCGCGACCGCTTCACGATTCTTTTCAGCATCGTCGCCAACGGCCACGAACTTCTTCCATTCATCCACCAAGCCCTGGCACGAAGCGAGGGTCTTTTCGTACGATGTCATCACAGCGTCTTTGGCGGTCTCCTGCTCAAGCTTCTCGCTGGCCTCCTGAAGCTTTGTCCTGGCCTCCACGAGCGAGGCCTCCAAAGCCTCAGCCTTTTCTCTCACAAGCTCGAGCTTTGTGTTTTTAAAGGCTGAAAGAGCTGCACCGGTCATCTTCTCGAAGCGCAATCGCTTCCTCTTCGCCTCCGGAGTCTCAATCTCTGCATCCTTGTCCTCGTTCTCATCCGATTGCTTTCTCTTTTGCGGGGTCACGATGATCTCCTCACCCATTGATGCATCCTGACGGAGCCAGGATTCAGCCTGTCCAAGACCCGCAGTAGAGCCAGCATGCTTCATCAGGATGTCCCGGTCAGCCTCCGACAAGTTTTTGTACTGCTGAGATCCTTCTTCCACCTTGGCCAACACCGTCCGATCTTTATCTCTATGCTTTTCTGCCACTACAGGCAACCAAAGCCTCAGAGAATTGCCAATCCCAAGGCTGTCTCGCTCAATGCTTTCATCAGCGAGGTATTTTTCCCACTCGCTTTTGCTTTGCTCTTTAGACCAGCCCATGATATTCTCACCACGCTTCAGCCATTGTCCATATTCGTAGGGAGTAGTGCCCTCTCGAGAACGGACCGTTCTTGCCACGACGAACTCCCGTCTGAAGGCAGACCAATCAATCAATGACTTTCTGCGCCACTTGCCATCAGACGGATTGTCTGAGGAGAACTTCAAGAACACTTCTCTCGCACGATTTGCATTGATAATGGCTTGCTCCAGCGTAGCGGTTTCCCCTTTGCTTTTGGCCTGGTAGTACAAGCAATCGTACTGGCGATTGTGCGACAAGCACCATCGCTTTCCTTTGCAGCATGGCTCTGGGCACACAAAGCAGGTCTTCGGAGGCTGCTTGGCCTTGGCTTTGGGAGCACGCTTGCCCCTGCTCGTAGCTTCTGCTGATTTGGCCTCCTGGGCCAAGCGCTCCTGCTCCATTGCACCTTCCCCGAAATCCATCTCCATGCTCACGAGGCTGGCTGCAATCTGGAAGTTCTGGAACTCGAGAGGTGTCGAGAGGACAGACAAGGAGGCCAGGAATGGCAAGTCAGGTGGATGCAAGGGCTCAAGAAAAATCTAGCATGCCGTGTTCCATGGATCCTGCATGTCATGCTGTGATTCTGAAGCAAAATGCATCACGCCGTCACGCCAGCTGCACACACTGTGCGGAAAATGTGCTGCGGGAAAGCACGGGGTTTTCGAGAACGATTCTGATCGAAGCTGGCTGGCAATTCGCAGCGGTCTTCAAACTAGCTAGTCCGGCAGATACGACTGACACCACTTGCACATGTCACGCCAAACTCTGCGAAGCGTGCAGCTTCTGTCTTTCATTGCAATTTGCCAAAGGCTCAAGGCAACGGTCCATGCTGCTTTGGCATTGCATAAACGCACAAACTAGAGTAACTAGAGGAGGCAACAAGTTCAACCCGAGGCCGCTGCAGCACACGCGGTACAATTATGTTAAAGGCATCGAGCGGCATATCAGGATTTCCCTCGGGGGCCTCAGTCCTCGGCCTGGGCATTTGAGTGATCTGAGGCTGAAACCATTGAAAGCAACGACTTGCTTGACAGTGCTCGCAAGAGACCCCGCTCTGGTTGCACTGACATGGCCCGGTTAATCCGGATGGAATGAGCCAATATGTAAAGAAGCCAGGAGCCCATCACAGGAAGGTGCCACCCATTGCCTAAAAGCATCTGTTGCTGAGAGTGTGGCATCTGTTCAAGCACCTTTGCAATCGGAGACGAGGCATCTTTCATGAAAAAGCCGTGCGCTTGATAAAGCTCTCGGTGTGTCAGCGTCCGTTGGGCCTGCCACGAGTGAACCGTGCCATGTGTAAGCATGGACGGTAGGATGCGGCCCGGAGTGCTGGCACCTTTACCACAGTTCTGCTCCAAGTCTGCGAACCAGGTAAGGTCTTCACCTTGAATCGACTTCCGCAAGTCGTCGTACTCACTGTACCTCAACAGCTGCCCTGGTGCATACATTTGATTGAACGGAATCTTTGCAGTGTCTGGATTTTCACAGAGACAGAAACCACGCTTCTGTGCCAGCCGGCCGAGCTCTTTCACAACATCTGCATTGTCGGCAAACAGAAAAACATCAGCGGTTGCCTCCATCTGTGCCGCAAAGAACGACTTAAAGTGATCGAGTAGTTGCTCTTGCGGCGGTCCCAACCAGACCATGCTTGCTTTGCTGAGGCCGCAAGTAAAAACACGCCTGCGACGAACAGGCCAACCCAAATCTGTGGCAGACACCACAATGTGCAGCACGTCGTGGCTGCTTTCCAGTGGATTGCGGAGCTTCGCCTGCACAGTACGGGCACAACAGGACTGTACAGTGGATTTCTGATTGCACGACATGAGCTGAACTGCAAGAAGTGTGTAACAGCACGCCTTTCGTATATGTTGCACCGACTTCCTGAACCTATCCTCAAGTCCTGCCTCCACGGGATATCTCGGAGTGCATTCGGACACAAAGAAGTCTTCTTCGCACTGCTCACCTCGGTGTCTGCGTTCTGCCAACCAGACTGCATGGGGTCGCTCCGAAACATCAGCGAATTGAAGGCTCTTCCCTGCTGACGACCAGCCACAGCAGGTTGTTCCTGCCAGGTTGATTCTCAACTGCGCCGTACCCGCACAGATCGGCTCAGTGCAAAGGCCAGGCTCTGCACTGCCAGACTTTGTTCTGCGCCTCCTCAAAACTGGTGCCTCAACAGGAGGAGAACACTGAGGAAACACGAAGCATCCTCGGCCATGGACACTGCAGGGGCTCTTTGCATCTCTTGGAAAGAGCCAAGCACGATTGTCCATCAAATATTGCCCCATGCTCTCATATGCTTTGACAAGCTCACCCTTCCCAACCTTTTCTGTAGGTAGCATAGCATCAAGTAGAGAGCGTGCTTCAGGCGGTAGGCGATCGTTTAGATCACCCATCACACATATCTTGTCTTCATGCAAATGGCTGATTGCCTGCAACACTTTTTGCTGTGGGGCCCCCACATCACTGAACCGACAAAACCGCACAGCTGACGCATGATCTGCAAAAGCTTCATACGTCTGCAAAGCCTTGGTGATGCCAAACATGCACTCGTGCTCTCCTGCCAGGCCACTATAATCGGAGTACATGAGCAAACCAAGCTGCAAGTTGTGCTTCAACCGCTCAAAACGCTCCCCTCTGCTGCCATCTTCTGTGTCCAGCAGATGACGCAAGGCAGTCTGTGGCCACTCGCAGAAATCATTCAACGATCGCGGCCCTGGCTTCATGCCCTGGCACCCTCACAGATCCATGTGGCCGTGGATCCTAGATTCCTGGTTTCAAAGTGCTGTGCCTCAAAAGCAACACGGCCATGCTATCATGTGCGATACCCAATAGGCTGGCAAGCAAATATCTCCGTTACGCTTGTGTCACTTCGAGGCTCTGCCAGATGATCCGGTTGGCAATGCTTTTGCACAGCTGGCACAGGCTAGGAGTCCGCACAACTGCACAACATGTTAAGATATCAAGCATGGACCGACATGCTGGACAGGACTTGTGACTGGACCGACCCGCGACAGGCACAACAAGGCACAAGTGCAAGTGCAACTGTACTTGTCCGAGACCCATCAGGCCAGGGCATTTAGAGCTGCAGCACCCCGCCCCTCCCCTCCCCGTGCCCCACGGCAGGCCCACTCTGAGACTGCATCCCCCTCTCTTGATGGTCCAAACCCAACGTACACCAACCCAGCACGGTGTACCTTTGCTCAAGCCCTCCTCCTCTCTGCCAGCCAAACGAAACGTACACCAACCCAGCCCGGTGTACCTTTGCTCTTTGCTCAAGCCTCCTCCTCTCTGCCAGCCAAACGAAACGTACACCAACCCAGCCCGGTGTACCTTTGCTGTTTCCCCCTCCTAGCACGGAGTGCTTTAAAACCCCCCGGGCTTCAGGCTTTCGGCTTCATGTGAACACAGAATCACAGAACAAACATGTCACGCAGAAGGCTTCTCTCATTCTGTCTTCTCAAGCTGCGGCTCTAACTCTCACTCCTACTGACGAGACCAGCAAAGGTGGACAGGCTCGGGAAGGCGGGGCTTGGCTTCTCAAGCAGTGGAGTGGACTACTACGGGGTCGGGCCGGGTGGTGTCATCAGCTGCCAACTGTCATTGTCGGACGGTATTGCAGTGATATTTCCGGAATAGAAGCGGAACGTCGGCTGACTTTGGTGAGTTTGAGACAAGGCATCGCGACTCGACTTGCGACTCATGCGACCTGGGACCTGAGCCTGAGCTTCCGTTGCTTGCAAACGACCGAGCCGGGACCGGCATCCCGACACCAGGGCGGCACAGGGTTTCTGACGCAGACTCTAAAAACGCGGCTCCAACCATAACACAGACAATACGCCTCTCTGTCTCTTGCCACTCACGCTTGCCACTCACTCTTTCCCTGTCTCTCTGTGGTGTGTCTTGGTCTTGTGCTAGCCGGCTAGCCGGTCCACGCCCATCCGAATCTATGTGTCTTCGTCTTGTGCTAGCCGGTCCACGCCCACCCGAATTCTATGTTTCTTCGTCTTGTGTTGTGCTGTATTTGCAACAAACAGCTGATTGAGTTTGCTCCTTTCTCTCTCTCTCTCTCTCTCTCTCTCTCTCTCTCTCTCTCTCTCTCTCTCTCTCTCTCTCTCTCTCTCTCTCTCTCTCTCTCTCTCTCTCTCTCTCTCTCTCTCTCTGTCTGTCTCTGTTTCCCTCTCTGCACAGCACACTGCACACTCTGCCCACTCGCACAAGACCGCAACCGCAACATGGTGAACATGTCACTGCACTCACTGCACTCACATCATGTCACTGACTGTCAGCAATAAGAACAAGACATCAAGTACATCAAGAACGAACTGATTGAATGCGAGATACGCTGCCAACTGTCCGGAACATGTACAAGAATATAGTTCATAGCTCTTACGAGAGTACATAGTTTACATTTTGTAGAGTTTAGTACAGGAGTCCCGCATCCGCGAATGTTTGGCAACTTGGAGCCCGTGTGGGCCGCGTGGGTTCCGTTTGGGCCTTTGCAGCACTCTGCGGCACCTCTGCGGGCCCATTTGGGGCAAATCCTCCGAGCTTCCCGGCCTGCCAGCCCCGGAGTGCCGGGGCCAGCATGCAATTTCGAGCAATTCCGAGCGTTTCGAGCAACCCCTGGAGTTTCGAGCAAGCCCCCGGAGTTTCGAGCAAACCGCTTTTATTTCGAGCAAACGGCTTGTATTTCGAGCAAGACTAATCATAGTTTAATAAGGGACACAGGAATGAATTTCGAGCAAGCCCCTGGAGTTTCGAGCAAACCCCTGGAATTTCGAGCAACCCGCTGGAATTTCGAGCAACCAGCGCTCCAATTTCGAGCGTTTCGAGCGTTTCGAGCGCGTGCCCACATAGGGCCGGGTTGGCCAGGTTGGAGGCAATTTGGAGAACTTCTGGACCTCCACAGTCAAAACATGTAACCTGAAGGCGACAAGACGGTCATCTGAATCCTTGATCATTCATCTGCTGGGATATGTCCTCACTGGAGCAGCATCAAGCTCCTCCATGCTTGGTAGCGACCCGTTTTTCTGGGCCTCCAGCACAGCTTTCCAGATTTTCTTTTGGTGGTGATCTTTCGTGGAGGAATTTCTTCCCCACAGCGCCCACGTTTTCAAGAGTCGCAGCGCCATATCGGATCCAGCGATGTTCGACGATCGCGTTTTCGTGCACGCGAGAGTCGCAGAACCATGCTTCGGATGCTTGCATGTCATCTGGTACCCTGTGTGGGTCGGGGTGATGCGGCAGATGCCCCAAGAAATGGAGTTGTCGGTACGACGCTTGTGCCCTCTGCTTCGATGCCCCGGTCCCGTTCTGGCACCGGCATCAGCACCGGCACCATCACCATCTGAGGATGAACTGGAGCTCGAGGAAGATGAAGAACCTGAGTCTGAGTCTGAGCCAGAGGATGAGGATGACGATGATG